GTCTTGACCAACAATCTAGAGATTTTCTTTCAGTTGACCAACTTTGATTTCCAAAGGTGTTACTTTTGTGAACCCCAAAATCTGAGACAGGTCTCGGTGAGTTTAGAAAGTTTATTTTGCCAAGGATGAGGATGTGTACCCATGACACAGCCTCAGGTGGTCCTGACGACATGTGCCCAAAGTAGTCAGAACAGTTTGGTTTCATACATCGTAGGAAGACATGAGACATCGATCAACATATGTGAGATAAACATTGGTTCAGTCTGGAAAAGCAGGGGACAACTCAAAGTGGGGAGGGGGCTTCCAGGTCATAGGTAGATAAAAGACAAATGGTTGCATTCTTCTGGGTTTCTGATTAGCCTCTCAAAAGGAGGCAATCAGATATGCATTTATCTCAGTGAGCGGAGCAATGACTTTAACAGAATGGGAGGCAGGTCGTAAGCAGTTCCTAACTTGACTTTTCCCTTTAGCTTAGTGATTCTGGGGACCCAAGATATTTTCCTTTCACACTTTGGATAAATACGATATGTGACCCTTCAAGGAATAACGAAAATTATTCTGCTTATATATTCTTAGAGGATACATTAATGTCTCAGAGATTGTCATTCATCTTTCACAGCACCTAGCAAAATACTCAAAAAAGTTGTGCTAAAAACAAAATCACCAGCTCTTCTTGCTCTACTTGTCCTCTTTCAATCTCTTGCTTTAGTGTTTGCACCAAATAAACCCTCACTCTGCATATTTGCCTTCTGCATAGAAGCTAAGAAAGGACTTGCTTGCTAGCACAATTTGATCCATACTTCTGAATAAAAAATAACCAGAGATAAAGTTATTCTTTGGTCAAATGATAGAATGAAGCCAGTATATAAACGGGATCATTTTTGAAAATTGCACTCTAGGTCTCAAGAATATCACTGTTAGACAATTGATATGGGATATGTGAGAACAGGCTACACAGCAAGTCTTTAAGCATAAAGCCAAGACAGATCAAGTTTATTAACTTCATCCAATGAGATTTAACTGGCCAGGCATAGTGGCACATGGCTGTAATCCCAGCACTTTGGGAGGCCAAGGCAGGCAGATCACTTGAGCCCAGGAAGTTCAAGACCCGCCTGGGCAACCTGGTGAAACCCAGTCTCTACAAAAATACAAACTTAGCCAGGCATAGTGGCGTGTGCCTGTAGACCCAGCTACTCAGGAGGCAGAGGTGGAAGAACTTCTTGAGCTCAGGAGGCTGAGGCTGCAGTGAGCCAAAGATCACACCACTGCACTCCAGTCTGGATCACTGAGTGAGACTCTGTCCCATAAAAAATTGAAAAAAAAAAAAAAAAGGATTTAATCATGCTCTGCAATTCTTTAAAGAGCAAAAACAGATTTTTTAGATCGTGCAACAACTCTGAGATGCACTGAGAAACAAGAAGAGAATTACCAAGCTCATTTTTGTTTTATACTTCCAGGGAGAGTACCATTCTCCAGGCATGCAGAGAACCCTTCTAAGCTAGTATAAACAACCCCAGTGTTATCTAAAACTAGTCTCCTATTGGTAAATATTGGCTTTGTAGTTGTTACTTTGTTTATTTCAAATCCTGAATAAACAGAACCTTCAGTTAGTGGGACAGTGATTTTCAAACACTACTATATGTCAGAATTTTCTGCACAGCTTGGAAAACATGCAACTGCCTAGACCCAATTCTATTAAATCACCCAGGAAGATTTAAAAGAATGCTGATGCCTGGCCTCATCCTAGATTAATTGAATCAGAATCTCTAACGATATAAGACCTAGCCATTGGTGTTTTTTTTTTTTTTTTTTTGAGACTCCGTCTCATAAAAACTCTGTTGCCCAGGCTGCAGTGCAATGGCACAATCTTGGCTCACTGCAACCTCCACCTCCAGGGTTCAAGCAATTCTCCTGCCTCAGCCTCCCAAGCAGCTAGGATTACAGGTCCCTGCCACTATGCCTGGCTTATTTTTGTATTTTTAGTAGAGAGTGGGTTTCGCCATGTTGGTCAGGCTGGTCTCGAACTCCTGACCTCAGGTGATCCACCCGCCTCAGCCTCCCAAAGTGCTGGGAATACAGGCGTGAGCCACTGCGCCCGGCTGCCATTGATATTTTCTAAAAGTACCCCTATGAGGTTCTAAGGTGCAGACCTGGGTTGAGAACTCCTGCCCTACTGAGCCTGATTTAGTAGTCAGGGTCAGGGTCCAGGCCTCTCCATATTTAATAGATATCACAAGTGATTCAGGTCTATGGCCTTTGGATTTTATTCTTAAAAACAATGGCCTAGGTCACGTCAAAGATCTAGATAACGCCAAAGCTCTATAAATTGATGACTCTCAAAATGGGCATACCTCATTCCTCCTTTGACTTTTTTTTTTTTTTTTTTTTTTACTGTAACACTATCTCTTAAATAAAATTTGGCCTGCATCATAAGGAGGGAGGATTATTTATTTATTTATTTATTAGAGATAAAGTCTTGCTATGTTGCCCAGGCTGGTCACAAACTCCTGGCCTAAGTAATCCTCCTGCCTGGGCCTCCCAAAGTGCTGGGATTATAGGCATGAGCCACTGCACCTGGCAAAAGGATTACCTTAAATAGGACAACCAAATTTGTTAACTGATTACAGATGGTTAAAGATAGAAAAATGTATTATATTAGGGCAAAAGTTGATTTTCGTCTGAATGTAGTATCAGAATTCCATAAGCAAATGATTGCATTTCTGAGGAAAAAACCCCAAAAATTAATATCTAATAAAAACCAGTTTTAGAAATAAGTTTTAATTCAGAAAACAATATTTATATTAAATCATAATTAACATTTAAAAGCTACTTAAAGAGCCAAGGGGGTACATACCAGGAGAGTCATTACAGCATTATTTTTAGTAACAAAAAAATCAAAAACAACTTAAATGTCTTAAATGTCTATTCAAAAAGGAACTAGCTAAATATTATATACAATTAACAATGTTAATATAGAGAGAGCAGCCATTAAAAGGAATGCTGCTGCTCTCTATATATTAATTTTTTAAAACTTCAAGATATACCTGAAAAATAGAAGCAAATGGCAGACACATATGAAGTATAAAATCTTTTGTGTTTTTAAAAATAGGCCTGTATGAAAATCCATGAGATTTCTCTGGAAAGATACACAATAAACGGATCATCGTGATTTCCTCCAGGGAGGGAAACTTTGTGACTGGGAAAAGGAGACTTTCCCCACTAGCAGTCCTTTGGCCCTTTGGGATTTTTGTGCCATTTGAATTATTCAATTAAAATTTCTAAAAAGAAAAGATCGGTCAGGCGGCGGCTCACGCCTGTAATCCCAGCACTTTGGGAGGCCGAGGTGGGTGGATCACCAGGTCAGGGGATTAAGACCATCCTGGCTAACACAATGAAACCCCGTTTCTACTAAAAATACAAAAACTTAGCTGGGCGTGGTGGCGTGCGCCTGCAGTCCCAGCTACTCGGGAGGCTGAGACAGGAGAATGGCGTGAACCCCGGAGGCAGAGCTTGCGGTGAGCCAAGATCGCCACTGCACCCGAGCCTGGGCAACAGAGCGAGACTCCGTCTCAAAAAAAAAAAAAAAAAAGATCAAGTGTAAACTGCAGGTTTTAAAGTGCATCTTGTTGCAAACAAACCCTGGTATATAGTAGGCATTCAATAAATGTTTATTAAATAAATCTGTTACCTTATTCCTCTTCTATTATTCAGTCATTCAATCTCCTCTTCCCTTGGTGCTGGGGGAGGGAAGAGGAGGCAGAGGATAACTAAAGTTTCACATAATATGCCTTAGTGCTGTGTGGGTGCTCAGTGTGTGCTAAACATTATGTTAAATAACATCTTGACACATGTTCATCATCTCAGGTGATTCTACAACATCCCTGTGAAACAAATATTATCTCTCTTTTACAGATGAGAAAATTGAGGCTCAGAGAGGCCACTGCAAGCCCAAGCAAATTGCATTTTATACACACACACACACATGCACGCATACACACATGCACACACACACACACATACAAAGAAACCCTTTTTTGGGGAGTGGGGAGACAGTCTCACTCTATCACCCAGGCTGGAGTGCAGTGGCAGGACCTCAGTTCACTGCAACCTCCACTTCCCGGGTTCACGTGATTTTCATGCCTGAGCCCCCCCAGTAGCTGAGATTACAGGTGTGCGTCACCGTGCCCGGCTAATTTTTGTATTTTTAGTAGAGACAAGGTTTCACCATGTTGGCCAGGCTGGTGTTGAACTCGTGACCTCAAGCGATCCACCCACCTCGGCCTCCCAAAGCGCTGGGAGTACAGGCATGAGCCACTGCACCCGGCCACAAAGAAACAATTTTAAAGTATGTGCAAAATGCTATGGGGACGATGAAGATTAATATGCTCTTTGCCCTTCAAAAGGGTCATAGTAAGGGAAACATTTATGTGTAATATTACTGTGACGCAAGCCAAGAGCGAGTACCATGTGGGAACTTCAAAGGGAAGAGATCCCCCAGGAAAGAGAAAGAAGGACTCAAAGAAGGCTTCAAAGAGGAGAACGTGATTAAGCAGGACTTGGAAAGGAGAGATCAGGAGAAAAGTCATGTGAATCACGTGTTCGACACTATGCCAAGTGCTTCGTACACATTCTCATATCGTATTATTTTAATCATAACAATTCTAAGTATTATGGTTCCCAACTTTAGATGCCTAAACCAAAACCTAAAGAAGAAATTTCCCCAAATGTTCTAGTTCACATTTAATGTCTCCTTACCTCCTGATGGCCTCCTCTATCAGGGATTTTAGATAACGTGTGGGTGTGCATGTATATGTATGTGTGTGTGTTCACACACACACATTCCTTAACTCTAATATAAGTATAAACTACTTGAGACAGGAAACTTTATTTCATATTTCTTCAATATCCCCTCATTATATGCTTACATATAGATGCTGCAATGTGGTAACATGTTAGTGTCAAACAGTCTGTATACCTACCCATTTTTATTTTTTGTAAAGGTTTTATGACAGCAGATGAAAGGAAATTATTCAACCACCTCAAGTCTCCTCATCTGAAATATTGGGTTCCATTCATCTGGTTTGGAAACCTTGCAACTAAAGCCCGGAATGAAGGTAGAATCAGAGACAGTGTTGATCTGCAATCATTAATGACTGTAAGTATATCATAAATCACAAGGAAAAGGTGCTAATTAGAGACCAAGAGGGACCTGGCTGTAGCACATTAGACCAGGAAGAGTCAGCTTTGTTCAGTCCTGGTTCCGGAGGAACTGGAAAGATTGGAGCAGTGTCAGACCCCTCAGCATGCAGGACAGACGTGGTACACAGTTAAACTCGAGTTGCTTGGAAATGGTTCCTTGGAAGCTGCATTTTAAACAGAATCATGCTTTGTAATAGGCTCTGTAAGAAAGTATTCCTTGATTGATTAGCCAAGGGTCGCCAACAGCTCGGAAAGCTATGGTGCCCCTGTAATATATTTGCCATCCCTGGCTCCAGGATTCTAGAAAAAAATCTGAAGGAGAAATAAACCTCCCCAGCCAAATATTTCCCCAAAATTGGAATATCGCGACTTAAGCCAACCTTTCAGATACTCTAGTAAGTAAAATAGTATTTTCACTAAACAAAATAACCCCCCCAGAAAAAATTTTTATGTAAGGGCTGGATATATTTGTGCCATGACAATCCCCTCCCTGGATTAGGCTAACGGGAGTGAATTGTTTAAAAATAGCACCCAAATTAATGTGAACTCTTTTGCCTAGTCTTACATAAGAACTTGTGTACAATAGATGAGAAAATCAAAGAATCCTGTCCTTCCTGCTTCAGAGATAGATTTTCTATCAATATGAGTGTTATAATCTCCATTTGTGGGAGTAATTATATCTCTTTTCTAAGATCTACAGTAAGCATGTTTTAAAATGAGAGAAACAAAAAAAAATTGCTTCCAGATTACCTACCAAAATCGATAAAAATTACTTATTTAAAATATTAGCAGTTTCCTTCTCACCATGACTTTGGGCCAATATACACGTTGGAAATTAAGGGTTCAATAGAATGTGGGGGGGGGGGGGATATTTCTATTCTTTTTTTTTTTGGAAATAGTCTCAGTCTGTTGTCCAGGCTATATGCAGCACAGTGGCGCAATCATGGCTCACTGCAGCCTTGACCTCTTATACGCAAGTGATTCTCCCACCTCAGCCTCTGGAGTAACTGGGACAACAGGCACGTGACACCAAGCCTAGCTAATTTATCTACTTTTTCTAGAAACAACGTGTTTCTGTGTTGCCCAGGCTTATCTCAAACTCCTGGGCTCAAGCAATCCTCCTGCCTCGGCCTCCCAAAGTGCTGGGATTATAAGTATGAGCCACCATACCTGGCCATGACTTATTTTAATATTTTTTTAAATGTCCAAATGTACTCATCAGTGAACTCATTGTTCCAATGATGTTCATTGATTGATTGTCATTTTTAGAACTTTCCTTTCGGAGTATCCTTGGGAACCAGTTTACTAGTCTTATAGTCAGTCCTGTAAAAGACATGCTCACATTCTGAATCCCAGTAAGTGCTTAGTACCACACCTGTCATCTTAGTAAATCATGCTTGATTTGTTTCTGGCTTAGGAAATGAATCGATACCGCTCTTGGTGCAGCCTCTTATTCGGTTATGACTGGGTTGGGATTCCGCTGGTTTACACCCAGGTAAGAAATACTTCGCATGGAATTCTTTATTTCTACTTGTCTACCTTGGCACTGTAGCTTTGCTGTGGGAGGCCAGCACCGTCCCCTCACTCCGGTCTCTTTCTGTTCCAGGTTGTTACTCTCGCTGTCTATACCTTCTTCTTTGCGTGCCTGATTGGACGCCAGTTTTTGGATCCCACCAAAGGCTACGCAGGGCATGACTTGGATCTTTACATTCCAATCTTCACCCTCCTACAATTCTTCTTCTATGCAGGATGGCTCAAGGTAGCCAATGGTCTCAGGGCCCCACTTTGTAATCTGTTATGTTCCAGACTCTCCACACTGATCCTTTACTGAGTCTTTAGCAAATCATTCACGAGTGAGTCAAAGGTAGATCTAACATGTAATAGCTCAGCAATATTATTACTTTTCTGCCAGGGATTCAAGTGACAGGGATATACTCAGTACTGTCTGAAGCAGCTCATTTGTGCAAAGAGATTAGAAGAACATTCTTTTATGGTTATTGATTCTCTTTTACGTCTCTGTGTATTCCCATTAGGATTACAATAGTGTAACTAAAGTAATAAGTGTACCTGCATTGATACTGTGTACCACAATAAGCAACTAGGCAGAGTAAAAGCGTCAACAAGAAGCCTTATAAATCAGACTTAACCATTAATATTGCGGTAGAATCTTGGTTCTGCTCAACTCTATAAATAGTTATTGCAGTTCCCTGAAATTCTGCTAGCTGTCCCACAACATTAAATGTACCCCATTTTCTTTTTTTTTTTTTTTTTTTAAGACAGAGTCTTGCTCTGTTGCCCAGGTTGGAGTGCAGTGATGCAATCTAGGCTCACTACAACCTCTGCCTCCCGGGTTGAAGCAATTGTGCTACCTCAGCCTCCCAAGTAGCTGGAATTACAGGTGTGAGCCACCGTGCCCAGTCTAAATGTACCCCATTTTCAAAACCAGAACCGAGACTCAGAATTCCTCAGAATCAGAACCAGAAACACCAGAAATAATGACAACATCTGGTTTGCCAGGGAATTTAACAGGTTCAGGAGGTGAGAATGGCTTGCCTGACTATCTGTGTAGAATTTTCCTTGTTTCCCCTCCCTTCATCACCACCTCCTCAAATGTATGTGTGTAAATATCAGAGACCCGATTCTTCCATCACCTCTGTAAACTTCCAAATGGGAAGTATGTGATAGAAAAAAATCAATGACAATGGCTTCATTAAATTCATTGAAAGGTAATGATAGTATAAAGATGATATTCATAAAGTAGAATTTTCAAATGTTTGGCCTTCCAAAGAGCCATACATTGTCGTGACCCATTGAGGCCTTCAGGTTGCAGTGAAATGTTCCCTGCAGAAGCCTTTCCTTTCATTGGTTTGAATCTTAACCAAAAAAAATAATATGTTGACATTTCCAATTATACTCCAAAGAGTAAAGGCATGTCCCTTACAAATGGCAAAAGCATTTTTAATCAGATTACCATGATTCTTAATTATTTCTACCTATGTAGGAGCAAGAATGCAGAAGAGACTAATGACTTTCATTTTCCATTAGAGGAAAAAGTAGAGTTTAGCTTTATAAAGATAAAATCACCGCAGTGGCCCAAATACTCAATCATTCTCAAAAAGTACTTTTCTTCCTTTCCCGAGTTGCGCCAAGCTTTTTATTCTTTGTTTTGTGTCCATGTAAGGTGCTTGACCGCCTGTAAAGAGCAAATAATGGTTCCTTCCTTCTGACATGCTTTCTAAAATATTTACATCCTTTTCCTTTATAAACTGTTTTAAAGTCCAGCGCGGTGGCTCATGCCTGTAACCCCAGCACTTTAAGAGACTGAGGTAGGAGGATTGCTCAGGAGTTTAAGACCAGCCTGGGCAACATGGCGAAACCCCATCTCTCCAAAAAAAACACAAAAAACAAAAAATTAGCAGGCATGGTGGCGCATGCCTGCAGTCCCAGCTACCGAGGAGGCTGAGGTGAAAGGGTCACTTGAGCCTAGGAGGCCGAGGGTGCAGTGAGCCATGTTCACACCACTGCACTCCAGCCTGGGTAACAGAGCAAAACCCTGTCTAAAATAAAATAAAATAAAATAAATCTTAAAAGACAAAATATTAAAAGGCACAATCTTAGCTCTATTAAAGGATAGGCAAACCTGCTGGGTATGGTGGCACATGCCTATAATCCCAGCACTTTGGGAGGCTGAGGCAGGAAAATCGCTTGACCCTGGGAGGCAGAGGTTGCGAGCTGAAATTCCACCATTGCACTCCAGCCTGGGCAACAAGAGTGAAACTCCATCTCAAAAAGAAAGATAGGCAAACCTAAACACCAATGGGTTGTGCCTCCATTTCTAAACAGCTGTTCTATCTCAATGATTAGGATATTTATAAATCTTTTCAAAGTATAGAAAAGCCATCTTAACCTTATGAATAGTATATCATTCAGTTACTTGCCGAAAATGCAGCCCCAAGTGGAATAAAAGATATATTTTGAGATTGTCAATTCAGAAACATACATGCCATTTTGTCAATTTAATGTAGACTATGATAATATATGCAGGACTGATTGCATAAAAATGAAAATCTGGATAGAATAAAAAAAGGTTTCAGGACTCAACCCTTAATTAATCTAAGTAAATCTCCAGGCAAGAAAGGGCAGATAGCCCCATGAAACTGGTGACAAGAACAACATAGATATCACTGTGAGGCTTACTGATTCAGGACACAGACCTGCCTAAGGAAAGGCACTGAAAATAAGAACCACATATTAAAATCCCCTGGGAGCTTTACCCGACACTGATGCCTGGGCTCAGCCTGGTTAAATCGGAATCTCTGCGGAAGGGACCCAGGCATCAGCTGGGTTTTTCTAAGAGCTCCTCAGGTGAGTTTAATGTGCAGCCAAGGTTGAAAAAAACTGCTCTAAGTATTAATACGTTGACTTAAATCCTAAAAGTAGGTAGATTTTCTACTGAATAGTTTCAGAATCTAGAATATTGAGACTCTAAAAACTAATCACATGGTACCTTTATTTTACACATTTAAAATTTTTTTCCATCTAGACTCAATGTAAAATCTCCCTCTCCCCCAACTCTCTCCCTCTCACACACACACAGGCATGCACACACGTCCAGATAATAAAAACCAAGTGAAAATTTTCAACAAGGAAAATGATAGATAAGTTGTATTTGACATATAAACCGCTCATCAAGAAGGCTATTCAATTCAGGAACATGATAAGAATATTTAATATTGATCAAATATTCAAAGATACACGACAATAGTTACCGAACATTTTCCCGGCAGGAAAACTCACTTACTGGATAAGGGAAAATCCTTTAGGGTAAAACTAAGTAAGCCTCAATTTCCAGCTTTAGGACTTACTAGCTCTCTGACTCGTTTACTTAGCAGTTACGTTCAATAACTGTGAAAGCTCGGCCAGGCACAAGTGGCTCATGCCTGTAATCTCAACACTTTGGGAGGTCGAGGAGGGCAGAACACCTGAGCTCAGGGGTTCAAGACCAGCCTGGCCAACATGGTGAAACCCCATCTCTACTGAAAAAAGTCCAAAAAAAATTAGCTGGATGTGATGGTGCTCACCTGTAGTCCCAGCTGCTCAGAAGACTGAGGCAGGAGAACTGCTTGAACCTGGGAGGCAGAGTTTGCAGTGAGCCGCGATTATGCCACTGCACTCCAGCCTGGGCAACAGGGCGAGACACTGTCTAAAAAAATAAAAATAAAAATAAATTGTGAAAGCCTCTTATATTATTTTCTTTCATTGTGATTTAAGTCTTTCTTTGCTGTTTAACCTTCTCCCTGTGTACATTTTGCCTTATTATCTGGGCCCTGTAAATTCCCTGAAAGCACAGCCTGTGTACCCTTCAGGGTGCCTTGCAAACAGTTGGTTCTCCTTCACTATTCACTCATTTGATTTGGCTCCTAAATCGGACATGGCTTCCCCTGATAGGGCCTGCATTGTCACCAGTTGGATGGACAGATCCATTTGGAGAGCATACCTACAAAGGTGTGTCATTCATGGTTTGAGAATCATGTCTTGCTTGCTAATAAATATCTGGGTAGAACAATCTACTCCCCTCTACTCTTCATATTATGAAAGTCACAAAAGGAAGCAGAGAGGAAAATAGGAATCATCTCCAGATTCTATTCTTAGTTTTCACGGGTATCATGATGGATTTATTTTATGTTCAACTACAGGTAGCAGAGCAGCTTATCAACCCTTTTGGAGAAGATGATGATGATTTCGAAACTAACTGGTGCATTGACAGAAATTTGCAGGTTAGAGGAATTTTCTTTCTCTTTCAAATATTAATAATAAGTCACTTGTGATATTTCAAATCTAAGCAGATTTTAAATGCACGCCTCTTGGCTTCAGAGCTTTAGCCACAAATGAAAGAGGCTTGGCTGTGCACTATGCTGTCTCAGGTCCTTTTGGAAGCTTACACATCCGGGATTTCAGCTCCAGTGAAATTTAGTTCCTTTTAAGTAGAATTTCAAGCCAATTTTCTTTGTAAGCCTCTCTATTAGCTTTTTCCAGCCTCTTTCATCTCAGCATAGAGCAGTATTTTAAATTGTTCTTTGGTTTGTTTTCTATTGCCAACCAGAGAGGTTAATAGTGACTTAAAATGGCATCCAGACACAATCTGGTGGGAGTTCCCAAAGTCGTATCACATCAATCCCAGCAGTCAGATAGCCACCGGTTGGACACTGGGAGCCTGGGCCATGCCAGCCTGTGTCTCAAATCTGCATGAAATGCACTAAATGGGCCCCAGGGCCCTTACCCTGAAGCACTATTCCAGAGAGCTTTTCATGAAGAACCAGCATGAAGGAATTTTCCTTTTAGGCAAGACTCTCCCTAGACCACTCTCTTCCCTGTGAACTACAGATGAGTGAAGGCCTTCACCTTGTTCATTCGTTTCAAGCCCATAGTCGGCAGTTAAGTAAGTTCAAACATCTCACAGTAGATCCCAATGTCAGTCTCTTAGGGAGGACACATAATGCCTAGGTCACTCCCTTTGTCAAAATCGGAATCCCAGAGGATTAATAATGTATTCATGTATCCCTTTGTCAAAGCCAAGAGGAGAGAGCACCATAGCACCAAGCAGTATAGACTTCTTGATATGTTTTTCCAAACAAAGAATTGAACAAGAAACCAGGGCATATAAGAAGTGATGCCAAGTAAAAATGTGTTTACGGGGTTAACAGAATGAAAACTGGAATCTTCACCTTCCTGTAATATTTGGGGTTAAGTGGGTGCTATCAGGTAAAACAACAACATAATTGTGAGCACAGAATAAAAAGATGGCTCCCCTCCCTCCAGCTAAGAGGCAGCTCCTCTCTGGGGTGTGTGGTTTGATCCCAGAGTGTGGGAGGCTTGAAACCCCACTTATCCTCATTGCAAAGTACTCTTGAGCAGTAAACGACAGATACAACTCTCTGTGGCAGCTGTGGTCATGGCAAATACGAACTATAGACATTTGTATATTCACTCACTTAGACTGTGTCCTAGCCCACTCTAACTCTCATCTGCCCACAAAAACTTCTCCTTTTTATTTAATTTCCATCTGAGTTATTCTAACAATATAACAATGATTTTAGGTCTCTCTTTTAGCTGTGGACGAAATGCACATGAGCTTACCCAAGATGAAGAAGGACATTTACTGGGACGATTCTGCTGCTCGTCCACCATACACATTGGCAGCTGCTGACTACTGCATACCCTCATTTCTGGGGTCAACAGTCCAGATGGGGTAAGTACATTTTTTTAAATCTCCAATATTTTCCAGCCTGAGCAACATAGTGAGAACTTATCTCTACAAAAAAAAAAAAAAAAAAAAAAAAAGAAAGAAAGAAAGAAAGAAAAGAAAAGAAATAAAATAATTTAAAGTAGCCAACTGTGATGGCACCTGTAGTCCTAGCTACTTGGGGAGGCTGCAGTCGGAGGATTGTTCGAGCCCAGGGGTTCAAGGCTTCAGTGAGCTGTGATTGTGCCATTGCATTCTAGCCTGGGTGACAAAGTGAAACCCTGTCTCAAGAAAAATAATTAACGAAAATTAAAATAAATATCTCCAATATTTAGGAAGTGAGCAGATAGATCACTGTTCTAATCTTTTTACCTTTTTTTGGCATTTTTTCCTACCTGGGCTTAGTATGTACGTCAGTCTCTGTTCAGTGGTTTTAACACAGCAATCAGCCCTATGTATAACGAGCTTTAAAGTTGAGGCCTGAAGTAAATCAGGCACAGTTCTATATTTCATTAAGTCTGAGCATGTATTTGATATTGCAGAAGTGTGTGAATGTGGGAGAATTTTATTTGCTGAAGGCAGATGCCACAGTTTCCACGTAAATTAAAGAGAAAAGCACAGACTAATTCAGAAAGTAAGAAACTCTCCACTCAAAAACAAAACAAACAAAAAACTGTAGCAAAAGGGGAAACTTCTGTGGAATTTTTCTTATAACTCTTGGCAAGACTGTGGCTTATAGTTCCCTGAGGCATGCGCTAAGCGGATTTATACAGTGGGTTCATGTCCCATGGTTGCTGCCTGTGACCCTTCTTTCCCTCCTCCCCGAAGTGGCCTGCCCTCCTCCTTCCACTTTCAGGAGATCTCACTTCACCCCTGTTCCCTTTGCTCAATGTCTCCTAATGCCCATCAGTGATGGTTTGTGGCACTTCTCTTCCAAAGGGGCCCCTGAGGCTGAAAACCTTTCAAGACCCAAAGAAAAGGAAGATTGAAAGTGGAATTTCAGTAGTTCTGGAAAGTAATGAGAAAGATTTAGGAGCCAGGAGATTTGCCTTGTTGCCCACAAAGCACATCTTAGAGAAGGTTGCCTACTCCAGGCTAGATTTGCTTCTGCTTCTAGCTAGCCTCCTAAGACCAGACCCACCCACCCAGGGCTCCTTCCAGGCCAGAGAGCTCATCCCAGCCCTCAGTGTGTTCTCAGTTTCCATGGATAGGAATCTCTGGTTGTATGCATGTCTCAGCCTTCATGATATCTTCTGCCGGGGCAGAGCTTCATGGATATCCAGCAATCTTCTCAATTTTCAGAATTAATAAGAGCTGTTTTTCTGTGAGTTTGATTTTAGATAATTAAATATGCTTTATCCTTCTCCTCACTCCCACCATTGATTAATGCAAAGTACTTGAAGATTTAACTTGAAAAGAAAAGAGACCAGCAATGCTGATAGAATCAGGGCATCATTGTGATGACTCTATTTAGACTGCAAATGCTCTGCAGGCTCTATTTCTAATGTCCATTGAGTTGTTCTTACCCCATGGTTAAGATGATTTTTTGAAGGTCTCAAAATTTTTATCCTGATCTACTTACTCATCCTAATCATCATAATTCTGCAGATTACCATATAAATGTTCATGTTCTTCAGAAAATATTAAAACACAATGTTTCCCCTGTTTCTAAATACAGAAACAGAATTAGGGATTGACAAGATCTCAGAGAAAATTTCTTCCCCAGATTATTGAGAAGATTCCATGAGATTGTAAACATTAAAATGCTTTAGGTAAAACTATAGAGCATGATGATTATTATCACCTAGTCAAGTCTTATTTGTGGATGTCAAACTGAAGCAGAGAAAGATTAAATCACTTTAAGCTATTTTTCATATTAAACTTACCCTGGAAATTTAGAACAGAAAATAAAACAACTGAGAGAAAACCAAGAGGTACAATATTTAAAACTGCAGCAAAAAATTATCAGTTGTCAGAGAGAAGTCCTCCAACTAAAATGGCCTATTTACCAGCAGGATGGAGAGAAGAACAGACAAAGGCCAGAATCTATTGGGATAGGGTTTTGTGAGAGGTTTAACTGGATCTGCTAGAACCAATTGATCAAAGAAACAATTAGGCAAAAGCTCACTTGATCTTGATTTTCTGTATAAATGAGGACCATTAAAGTGGACCACAATCCAGGAAAATTTACTGCAGGAAAATAGGTGATCAGAAGCCCTGAGTTGATAGAAATGGCGCCCTTTGGATTTATTAATGTCTATTTTTCCTATGATTGTCATATTAGAAAAAATGTTTCTGTTGCCTATGACGAAAACCAAATTCAAGGTTTCTTAAGCAAAAGGAGGTTTATAGTGTCACATCCAGAGACGAGCCTAGCTTTGGGTGTCACTAGATCCAGAGGCTCAGAGAATGTCACCAGGACTCACTGTTGTCCCATGACTCTCAGGTCTGCTTTTCTCTCCACTGGCTCAGATTTCAGGCAGTATCTCCCATCCTGAGGGCAGAATGGCAAAATGGCAAGCTCCAGGCTTACAGCTTACCTTCTCAGCTAGCCTGTGGAAAGGCCACATCTCTTTTCCAACTCTTGAAACTGAAGTGCTGGATTTGCTAGGACTGACTGGGCTTGGTTCACATATCCATTCCTGGGCTAATTACTATCAACAGGGAGACGATATTTTGACTATTCATGGCTGGTTTATAGGTCTATCTTTGAACTAAGGGTTACAGTCAGCCCCATCCAACCATATGGAGTATGTAATATCTCAAGAAAAAGCAAGATGCTATTATCAGGAGAAGAGCGAATGGTTTTGCTGGGCTGGCAAAAATAGTAGATGTTCTCTAAAATCATAGAAGATAATTCCCTAAGCAATGAATGGTTCCTTCACCAAATACAAGGTCAATGTCAAATGAGCCACCTGACTAAGGCTCAGGGCAAGGGGAAGGTAAAAGTTAAGAATTGTTGTAGCACCAGTGGTTTTGTTGGTGCTGACTGAGCCAATGAACTCTTTGCATAGGAGTGAAGATCACGTGTCAAGATACTGTAGACACAGCATTCCATTTTATAAAAGTGCCTGCTGCTTGAGGACCATATCAAATCCTTTCCTGGATGAGATTTTTAAAAATTTTCTTATTCTCTTTAAGGTGTATGTTCCCAGCATATTGAATTCAGAAATCAAATTGTCCTTACCTTTTCATATCAATGTTTTGGGTTTGTAGCCACAATTCCCATAATAACCCGGATATTCTAAAATCAAAGCAGTGCCCTTCAAGAACAGAGCAAAAGTACTCCTCTCCAAGGGCCACCTGCAGGATCACCCACCTCCCAGCCAGCACATTCAACAGCGCTGTTCACATTCAGCACACTGTTCATTTCCACTTCAGAAGGAAACTCCTCAGAGACAATGTCTTCATTCTCTAAATCAAGGAATATGTTCAAAACATGGCCCTATTTTCTGCATATTTACTAAATAGATATAACTCAAATAAATCAATTTTCCTTCTTTCTATCTTAAGTACAAATTTAAAATATATTTTCCCTTGGACCCTCACATACAGAATGTGCTCATTTATTTATTCAGGTAAATTTTGTTCAGGGCCTACTATGAGGTAGGTTCTATGCCAGATGCTAGAGGTAGTCAAAAAAAAGAAAAGAAAAAAAAAAAACGCCTCCTAAGCTCACAGATGTAAGGCCAAGAAAAGTGACAATACAATGTGGTAAATGCTACAGTGGAGAAATGCTCAGCCTCATGGGAACACACACAATGAAGACACACTTCACCCAGCCTGGTGAAGCAGAGAAAGCCACTTGGAGTCAGGGACTCTAATATGCATCTTTAAGAGTGAGTTAGGAGGTGGGCATGGTGGCTCACACCTGTAATCCCAGCACTTTGGGAGGCCGAGGCAGGTAGATCACCTGAGGTCAGGAGTTCAAGACCAGCCTGATCAACATGGTGAAACCCAGTCTCTACTACAAATACAAAATTAGCTGAGCATGGTGGCACAACCTGTAATCCTAGCTACTCAGGAGGCTGAGGCAGGAGAATCGCTTGAACCCAGGAGGCAGAGGAGGTTGCAGTGAGCCGAGATTGCACCATTACACTCCAGCCTGGGCAACAAGAGCGAAGAGTAAAACTCCATTTCAAAATAAAAGAAGAACGAATTAGGAGCCAGCGAACAGATAGGATTGAGGGGATTCAGCAGAGGGCACATTACAGGCCAATATGGACAAAGACAGAAAGAAATGATAAATAGTGTACTCAGAGTAACAATTTGATAGGCAAACCAGAAGAGCCAATAAATGAATCTGGAGAGGAGGCAAAGGCAGAAGATGACGGGTTTTATAGGCCAGGTAAGGGTTTCAGCCGTTATTCAAAGCTATTAAATGACAGGGTCACATTTTTACTTTAGAGAGATTAGCCTGGCAACTGGCTGAAAGACAGATAGCTGAGGATAAGACCAGAGCCAGAGTGAGCAGGCTGTTGTCATTTAAACAGGAGAGGATAAGGGCCTGAAGTAGGTGTATCACAAGGGATGTAGAAAGTAGAGGTGACGGAAGGGACAGATTCAAGAAAGGAGAAGGAGTGAAGAATGGTAATAAACCACAGATGAGATAGAGTAGAAGGGTGAAAGCTACTCTAGGGAAAAGATTATGAGCTGTCCCTTCTGCATGTGTTGAATTTGAGATCTCTATGGGCAATTCACATGGAGATGGCCAGCAGGCAGGGAGTCCAGGGGAAAAGGATGCATTTTACTGGTATCAGTACGTAGAACCAAAGAGTGGGTGGGAACACTCAGAACAGTATCAAGGAAGCAGAGCAGAATACAAAGGGTAGAATACTATCACTGAAAGGGTGGTCAGAGGAAAAGGGTAGTCAGAGTAGAAATGGTCAATATAGATGCAGAGTAACCCAGAAAATGCCCTGCCAAGAGGCCAAAGGTACAAAGTTTCCAAATAAAGCCTGAAGAGCATGCCATAGGTTTTGTATGTTAGGGTCATCAGAGCCTTA